GTCGGTCAATTAGTCAGTCTGTCATTCAGTCTGTCAGTCAGTACGGTCAGTCAGTCAGTCAGTCAGTCAGGAAAGTTTGGCATTCGAGTTAAGTCAAGTCATAACCATGACAGCAGTATTTTGTTGCTCACGTGTTAGCTGATCTTCACCAATTGTCTTCGACCTACCACGGTTTCGTTTGCCCTGAGGGTTCCAGAAGAGTTCCTGTTTAGTTACGTTGTTGTGTGGGTTATTCGTGTAGAGCTCTCATATATAATCGTCATAATCATTATTTCATTATTTCTTTCAGATATCCTCTGCTTCTTAGTAGAATCTGCAAGGCCTCCCCACGAAGAAACCCCGATCGAGAGAAACTCAAAATGGCTCAAAGACGGATCGAGGAACAGCTGAATAAGATCAACGCTGTAAGTAATTACGTTATCACGTGCAGGTTGCTTAGGTTGCATAGCAACATTTTTGTCAAAAAAAAAATCTGTAGGCGCGGTTCACACTTTGTGGCCGGGAGAAGTAAAGTTTAAAAACCGCTTTCACCCAAGTTTAAGTTATGGTCACGTTAATAAGGCTGATTGAGGGTAGAAAACAGGACAAGACAAACTGAATGATTATTCTATAAGGAAGATCATCTCTGAGCTAAACACTACAAACTTCCATTGATCTGAGTGACTGACGGTAAAATCACTATATGAGGAAGATGCGCCTAATTTGAAACAATTCATGTGTTACAATGGGTATTCTCAGTCAGTTCAATAAAATGACAAAGCTTGCAGAAATATTGCTTGCGTTATAAACATATTTTACTCAGTTAAAATTTTAGTCAATCTCAAATGCAATGGGTATTTTTGTAATACGCTTTCTTTCTTTCCAGTTGAACACGACCGTTGAATCTCGCCAAAAGCGTTATCGAGCCAGCCAACAGTTGGGTAGATCAGATTCCCTAGATAAACTACAGATGAAGAAGATGGCGTCAGATATCCTTAATTGGACCATGGAGGAAATGCAACTTTTAATGCACGGCGTATTTCAGGTCAGTGAGGGTCAAAAACTCAAATATCAACTTTTTGCCGCTGGATACGAGGTATTGATAGATCTTAACCTCTCTTTGAATGGCTTTAACCGATCTGGCCAGAAAACCAGTTTTCAACGACTACAGTGGATTTATGCTAAAACAACTAGATTATTCGCTGTCGGTTTCTATGCGTGATAGTTGACTCAGGCTGTGCCCTCGTCAACTATCACGCGTCAGAATTGAAATCTCGAGCTCATACAAAAAATCTAATTGCTAAATAGAACAACTCGTAA